GGCATGTGTAAGTAAAAACAGATGTGGTTCCTGCTCATGGATCCTACAGTCTAGTAGAGGAGAGAGACATTAACTAAATACGTAATCACTCAAAAATCATTGTAAGTTGATAAATGCTTTGAAGAAAATGTACAGAGTCATAGATAAGGAGGAGCTTACTTAGTCTGGGGAATTAGGACAAGAGTTCTTGAGGAACTGAGAGCAGACCCGAATACTGAAGGACTCGTGGGCCTTCAGAGGTTAAGGGGGATGGACAGAGAAAGAACATTGGATACTGAAGGAACAGCTTGTGGGAAGGCTCTGAAGCAGGGAGGGTCTGGCCCTATTTGAGACACTGAAAGGAGAACTGTCTGAGAGGAAGAATGATATGAGAGCAGAGGAGAAAGTTAGGTAGATCATGGGTAGAACCATAAGAAGCCATTGAAGGGTTTTGAACAGGGGAGTGGCATGGTCACATGTAAAATGCCAATCCTCTGGGGATAGGGTGCACATACTTCAAACAGTAGGCAAACAAGATAAAGCTAGGAGCAAAGCAACTGTGCTAGGAAAAGAAATATGGACTTTGTAAACTGGATACATTTTATTTCATAAGTATTTAAAAAATAAGCAATATCCATACAAAGCTGTATACAAATGTTCAAAGCATCATTGTTCATAATAGTCAAAAAGTGGAAGCAACCCAAATGTCTATTAACTGATAAATTGATAAACAAAATGTGATATATCCATGTGATGGAATTTGGCAATAAAAAGAAATGAAATACTGATACATGCTACAACATGGATGACCCTTGAAAACATTATACTAAGTAAATGAAGTGAGACATAAGCAATGATGTACTGTATAATTCCATTTATATGGAATGTCCAGTATAGGCAGATTTATAGAGACATAAAATACATTAGTGATTGCTTAGGATCGGAGATGAGGTAAGGGATGGACTACTAATGGGTATGGGGTTTCTTTTGAGGGCGGGCAAAATAGTCCTAAAGTTAGATTTTGGTGATGACTGCACAACTCTGGGAATATATCTACATAAATAAACAAACAAACAAATAAATAAATGGTATACTTTAAGTGGGTGAATTATATGATATCTGGTTATATCTCAATGAAGCTGTTAAAAAAGAAAATAATTTTAAAAAGAATCAGGAACTAGGGTTCTCTGTAGAAATGGATCTCAGTTCTAAATTTCTTCTCACTTTATATTCATTGTACTCCAAATAATTGACCACCATGACTGTCTTGCTAGGGTGAGTTGGGAGGATTTATGGCCCTATGAATACACGTTCGAGTGCTAGAGTTGAGCCCATTGTTCATCTAAATTAGCAGTACCAAGCAGCTGTTTCAGTTAATCACATGAGTACTGCAAAATGCACCAAAGAGCTCTCAATTCCTTCAGCATTTCAAAAGAATGGTCTTAATTTGTTAAAATAATACCTTTTCCCTTTTTAGCGCTTTCCTTTGAAAAACTAACCCTATACATTTTTTAAAAATCTTTTCATTAAAATTGTTAGCTTAACTTTAAGATATTGCCTTCTGAACATTTATTTTCTATTTTTTAAATCNCTTCAGCATTTCAAAAGAATGGTCTTAATTTGTTAAAATAATATTTTCCCTTTTTAGCGCTTTCCTTTGAAAAACTAACCCTATACGTTTTTTTAAAATCTTTTCATTAAAATTGTTAGTTTAACTTTAAGATATTGCCTTCTGAACATTTATTTTCTATTTTTTAAATCTAGATTAGGAACATATGAATCATTAGTTATTAACTACGTCATAGGTTCAAAATAGCTATAAAGAAAGGGAATATGAGGTTCAGCAGGTGGCAGTGCTTCTGCTTTCACATTCTGAGAAGGCCAAGGTTTCTTAGGGAAGCATTCCTGGTATCCGTATTAATCAGTTTCACAGTTCCTCAGCTGGTGTGTGTGTGTGTGTGCGCAATTTCATTTGACTTGTGCTGTTGACTTTGTTAGGTTTTTATAAAAATTCATTTCGTTTCCTTTTCCAGCTTTCGTCTTACTGTTGTGTGTATGCGCAAGTGTAATTCAGGCTTAACCACTTGGGTGTGAGCTGGTTAAATTGCGCCTTGTTTTATGTATGAGGAAGCTGAGACTCAAGGGTGATAAGGTACCTTGATTTGGTTGTCTCACCAGATACTGAGAGGTTTTTCAACTGGAACTCAACTCTCCTGATTTGTTTTAGTAAAACATCTTCATTTTTCAGTCTTCAACCTCTATCTTTTCAAGTCTTATACGTAGGAATAAATATCTTCATGGAACATCACTTTATGTTGCTTTTTCTTAGAGCTGACTTTCAGAATAGAAGAGGTGCTTATCCATGTGGTGTAAATGGAGGGGAAAAGAAATCGAAGATGACTTTTCTTTTGGGCCATCCGTTTCCCCAAATAACACCACCAACAAAATCCAATTTATTTCTCCTATTGTAATTAAATAACAGTAACTGAAAATTTGCTCAGATGTCTTTAGCAAAAGGCAGCAAACAGTACTAGGGCTCTGACCTAATGGGTTTAGAAGAGGAATGCCAAGGTCATTGGGAATTAGGCCATTCAGGATTGTCTTTCACATGGACTACAAGTCTCCTAATCTCCTTGCTTCCTCTGTGGCCTCCTTAAGATCCGTTCTCTGCAGGGAGAAAAAAAAATTTTTTTTTTTAGTAAACCATAGGTGTCTCTCTCCTATTTAAAACTCTCTAATGTTTTCCCTTGCACTTAGAATAGACTCCCAATTCCTTTCTTGGCTTACACAGCCTACAGGATCTGGCCCATGTCTGCTTACTTCTCCAAGCTTATTTCTTCTCCCTTTCTCATATTTTTCTCCTCAAACTCAATTTAGGGCCTTTGAATTAGTGGTTTACTTCGCCTGGAATACTCTTTCCTCTGAAATTTGTTATGCAAATCACTAAGTGTCTCCCCCTCAAAAGGGCCGCCCTCCAGCAGCCACCCGGTCACAATCGCCATCACATCATTTACAATGCCTTTGCACAGAGGTTAGCACCAACAGGTATATATTTTTCTTTTTTCCCCTTCCTTCCCTCTCCCATAAGCTCCCTAGACCCTAGACTTGTCTTCCTCGCAGCTCAACCAACAGCCTGGAGCGATGCCTAACATCTGCGGGAGCTCAACAAACACTGTTGAAAAAATGAACATGTGAATGCACTGCGCGGTCCCCGGCCCTGTCTCCCGAACGGGGCAAAACTCATAATGAGGATTCTCTTAAAAATGTCTTCTCAATTATCAGGTGAGGAACAGACGCCCTTGAGGAGACTGCAGCTAGGCTGGACCAGCCTCTCCGGCTCTAAGTGCACACAGTCACACCCCGGCTGTTCATGCGGGGCTCGCTTCCCTCCGTGGCCGCGCCCGTGCTTCCCAATTCCGACACGGCGGTCAGATGTCGGGGTGCGCACTAGGGCCCGGAGACCGCTCGATGCTAATTTTTGCGGGCGGACTGGGCCGCAGGCCCGGAGCGCCGTGAGTGGTCCTCCGGGCGATGCTGAGGAGAAGGGGCGGAGCCACGCCGGGAGGATGAGCCGCGCTGGAGCGGCCAGACCTGGAGGGGCTGCGGCTGCGGTGAGGGCCCCGGGCATCCGAAGACAGCGAAGCTCGCTTGTGACGAAGGCGGAGTCCAGCTGACCCCAGGCGGTAAGACTGAAGGGTCGAAGGAAAGGAAGCAGGGCCTGAAACCAAACCTACTGAGCGAGCAAAGGCTTGGGCATTTTTGCCAGAGGAAAGGGTTAAACGGTTTCCAAGGTAACGGGTCAGGAAGCGCGCAAGACCTTCGCGGCTGGTTCGTAGGTCGGCCTCAAATTTAAAGCTCCCACGACTGTGCGGAGTCTGGCCAATGAAGAGGCCGCCTCCATGTCACGTGACTGAAGGGCGCTTGCTGCCGCGGAGCACGTGGGAAGGTTTTTCCCTTTGCTTTTTCAAAAACCCACCCACTTTTGCGCGGGCTTGGTCACGGGGTTCTTCTCGCGAGAGGTGCGGCACCCTCTCGCGAGAGTGAGTGGGAGGTGTGGGGACTAGGTGGTGGTGCTGGCTGGCGCAGCGGCGACGGAAGCCGGG